GAACAAGCGACGGAATCAGCAGAGAAATAAAATTATTATGGCCTAGAGAGAATGAGGCTTCTGGGTGTAACCAGAGAGTCTGACCGGTTCACTACACTCAGAGGAAAGGCAAGGCGGACTTTTAACCAGATTGTGACCGGTACCATCAGTACTGGACTCTACGCTGGCTGTTGAAGATGAGGACGGAGCATGCATGGGAATGCCCCGAGTGCTGTGATGTCAATTCTTGACTCAACTTAATTCAAAATGAGAAATAAAAATGTGTCTCTAAGTTCAGTTAGATCTGAACAATGATTTTTAAATTTTAGTGTGTCTATCATATTTAACTGATTAATTTTGAGGTTCCTGAGATATAATTTGTCTCTTTCCTATTAAACTGTGGTTATTATTTTGTGTTCTTACATATTTTTCCCCCATTATTTTCATGTTTCTAAAATAATGTAGATAATAATAATATAGATACTTGCACATGTGGGAATTCATGACAATAAAACTAGACACGAAAGAAAAAAAAGAAAAAACCCAGATCCAATAAAAACGCTGTTCATATAACTATGAGCAACATGATTATTACATCAATGATTAAAATGTGTATAACAGAGGAATGATGTTTGATATGGGACCAAAGTCTGAAGGGTATACATTCATATTACTCTAACCTGCTCTTCGTGAAAATGGCAGTATACTGGGCACATCGTGAGGTGAAACAGATAAGGAATCTTTATACTGGAACAGAGGTTGACATTAAACAGTTGTAACACATTCAAAATGATACCAAGTGAGTCATTCTGGGGTACAAACGAGACACGCAAATTCCTTGCACATATTTGCATTACCATCCGTATATGAGGAATACAAGGTTTTACATGCGAATATGTACCTTAAAGTAGCAACAAACAGGTTTCCGGTGGCTTGAAAACAGAACAGTCAGACGTGTTGTGGTTGTAACAGACTCACAGAGCATTCCTCTGGGGATTGAAACTGTTGGTTTACATCATACGACAAGATCCACATCAAGAGCATGTCAGATATGATATGTTCTGCCCAGGAAATTCAGGTATGTGAGGTAACGAGCAGCCTGATAGATTGGCTGCTGTCGCTCTGCTAGGCGGTGAGGTACTATATGATAAATCGGATGTGGAGAAGGCTCTACAACAGTGGGTCTCAACTTTCCTAATGCCGCGACTCTTTAGTATAGTTCCTCGTGTTGCGGCAACCCCCAAATATAAATCATCTTCATTACTACTTCATAACTTCAATGAATATATGTTTTCAGATGTTCTAGGGCGACCCCAGTGAAAGGGTCGTTCGACCCAAAGAAAGGTTGCGACCCACAGGTTGGGAACCCTGCTCTACGGAATCAAATGGACAGTGCAAAAGGAAAGACAGAATCCATACACTGAAAGACTAATTCAACTGGTTGGGGGAGGGGTGTTGATTACAGGTTCCGAAAGATTTTCAACATTGAAGGAAAACATCGGTTGAATATAATCAGGTTGCAACTGATACTATTAGCGTGTCAGCTCTTCTTTGGTCATTTAAGAAGAAGGCAGGGCACGTGTGAGTAAGTCCTCGAGTGCAGTGATGTCATTCATTCAATCGCATGAGCATGAACAAACGAATGGGCTTACGAAACGAGAACTTCAACAGACTGCTGCTCGTCCATCTTTTTATATCATCCTCCAACTTGTCTCGATCTACCCCATTTTACGCCTGTCTTCTACTTGTTATGTCTGTGACCCGCATATCTTATTTCTCTCTTGTTGTCCCCATTATTATTATGAGAAGAATAAGAAACAAAATTAAACCAGAAATCAGCGATGAACAATGTGAATTTGTAGAAGGAAAAGGTACAAATAATGCCATTTACATCCTAAGGACATTGTCAGAAAGAGCTATAGAAGTAAAGATTGATTTGTACTTATGCTTCATACACTATACAATAGCATTTGACTGTGTGAAGCATGAAGAAGTAATCAAACTGTTAGAAAAATGAAACATTGATGGAAAAGATCTACGAATAATAAATAATATGTATTGGCAGCAAACAGCAGCTAAAAGAATTAACAACTGTTTAGGTACATTTCAAAGCATAAAGAGGGGCGTACGACAAAGATGTGTACTATCACCTGATTTGTTTTCAATATACAGTGAATATATAATGAGATCTTTAATTGTTATGCCCGGAATTGTGGTTGGTGGGCACAATATAAACAATTTACGTTATGCTGATGATACAGTCTTGATAGCAACAAGTCAGAAAGAACTAGAGGAAATGTTAGACATTGTGTGTTAGAAAGTGGAAGAATTGTTTGAATAATGTGAAAACAGAAGTAATGGTGGTATCAAAGAAACGAATTATTCCTAAATTTGTAATAAAAGTCGATGGTGTTATTTTAGGATAATTACAGAAATTTAAGTATCTGGGCACATGGATAACATCAGATGGAAGATGCATAACTGAAATAATAAACAGAATAGGACAGGCAAAAACTGCATTTTATAAAATGAAGAATATCGTGTGCAATATATCCTTGTCATTGGGAGTTAGGAAAAGAATTCTTGCTTGCTACAAACATCCAGTTTTAACATATTGCTGTGAATCCTGAACAAGCGGTAGGCAGGCGAAACAATTTCTTGAGGCCTTAGAGGTGTGGTTTTACAGAAGAATGCTTAGAATACCTTGGACAGCCAAAAAGAGTAACCAAGAGGTTTTCAAAGAGGCGGGAGCCCGAAGGCAACTTATCACAGACATCGGCCATATTATAAGAAGAGGGAAAATAGAACATGTTGTGACCACTGGAAAGATCTGTGGAAGGAGGGATAGAGGAAGACAACGAGAGAAGATGCTTCACAGTCTTGTTGCATGGCATGGAGGTGTGCCGGCACACGAACTGATACAGGCTGCAGGAGATCGTGGATTGTGGAGAGGCATGATCGCCCACGTCATTCGGCAAGGCACCTATTGATGATGATGATGATGATAATGATGATGATGTCTCCATTGTTAAAAACGTTTGTCTCGTTGCGAATTTGAAGAGATTTTTAACCAGAGGTCATGACCTGAGAGTTTGCAAAAGTGGGCGCAGGAGGGGGAAAGACCGGACCAGGGCTGCCATTAAGTGGGTCTTCCCCCAAGATCTGGGTTTTTTATATGACGGCTTGGGTATATTTCAGATTTTGGAATCTTGATTTTTTTTTTCAAATATATTCTTATATAAAAGTGGGTAAAGTTTCGTTTTGTAACTATAAGATTTGTGATATTCATCAATCTTGGGTTTTTGTTTTTTGTTCTTTTTTCTTAGCTCATTTATTGCTTGGGTTTTGTGATCAGCAGCTTGGGTTTTGATTAAAAAATCTTATTGGCAGCCCAAGACCGGACTTCAGGAAGACAAACTTTCGGTGAATTTTAAAGAAAACCAACACTGTCATCTACTTCGGTTTTATTCATTGTTTTATTTAACCTTAAACACAGACATACTCCATCACCGAGGTGAGATTTACAATGTGTCTCATTCAAGTAGTTATTTTTTACTAGGAAGAAGATAAAGATTTTAAAAAATGTATAAATTATACAAAATTAAATTATACTATAATTTTGGGATAGGTTAGGCTAGGTAAGTTGATAGTTGATGTTTATTTATTTTATTTTATATAATTTTTTTCTATTATTTTATTAGTTTTTAAACACAAGAACAATCACTAACACCAGGTTGTTTGTCCACTTCTGGACTTCCTTCTTTTCTCTTGAATTTAAGTCTCGTATGCACATCCGTTTTTTACGGCTCTACTTCGAACGGCACCATAAAATGGCGGCCATAATATGATGCCACATTCTGGCCATAAAATATCCAAAATATCCGAACGGTGTTCAGGCATATCTAAAATACGGACTTTCTGCCAAGGAACAAATCGCGGCAAAACTAGGATTACTTGAGAATCAATATCAACATTGCACACGGTAGTAGCAGATGATAAATACCGACCGTGGACAATTTTGAGCGTTTCTGCAGACGATACTAGCAGACAATATTAGCGACTGTTGACAATTTCGAGACATTACAGACGATGAAAGCCGATTAGTAATACTGTGTTCTTCCGATTGGAGGATTTAGCAGTGGTAGATGTCAGACTTCTCGGCATGTGCAAAACGTGATTAAACTCATCGCCGAGCGTATCCCCCGCGACGCGGATGGGGGCTAAACGAGTAAAGTAATTGGAGGAAGTTGCAGGAGATAAGGTAGCTGCTGCTCGTGAGTCCCAGCCATCTAGTTTAGTCCCCATCAACGCCGCGCGTAGCGGCGCGGGGGATACCGTTGGCTGTGAGGCACACTTGCAGAAGCAGGTCTGCAAGTAACATATCGCCGAGACCCTGTTAGAGCATTTCTTTCGTTATACAGAGCCGGCATATTTTTAATAGAACTGAGCCCCATTCGGATATTTTTGAATATTTTATGGCCAGAATGTGGCCAATTTGGCTCTCTTTTGAACAGCATCATATTATGGCCGCCATTTTATGGTGCCGTTCGAAGTAGAGCCCGTTTTACTTTTACAGATCTGGATATAGCTTATTTTTATGCAGGCTGTTGGTTCCTCGACTGTGGGGTAAACTAGATCACTAGATGCATTCCGAATTTCAAAAAGACACTCCTCTTTTATAATTTTTTTTTTTTTAGCGGATTGGGGATGCAGATAAATATATACCTCCATCCCATGGGCCCCAGAACCCACTCAAGCAACTATCAACCGATAGTCATCCCCTGCCATTTAGACAGTGACTCACTGAGTGAGGTACATCAGTATTGTTCTTAGGGTCTGCAGTCATAATCTAGTATAAGGATGAACTGGGTATCTGTGATATGCTCCATTTAAATTAACATCTGAAATGTGGCTCATTTGGGTCATTGCTTCAAACTTATAGGTAGCAGACTCGGAGGTTGAATTTAAAACAAAAGACATTAAACACCACTGACATATAAAGAGTCTTTGACTGTTCACAGATGAGCACACAAGCCGTGTTTGAGGATGAAGCAGCCTTTAGTGCTGCACTCTCAGATGTTCGGAATGACTCCAGTGACATCAGCTACATCATCTGCGGCCATGTTGGGGGCAGCCCGAATCTCATTGGTGTCATGTATACTGGCAGTGACACTTCAGAAATTGGGTCAAAAATGGACCCTACGGAGGCCATGTATGGATTGGCTAGATATGAAACAAAGTTTGACATGTCAACGACTGTAAAGTTTGTTTATATTCATTGGTAAGTTTTGTGTTGTCACTTGGTAGTTATTTTGTAGAAAAGAGGAACATGGAAATTACAGAAACGTTATGTTTAAAAAGTCTGTTGAAGGAAATAAGAAGGTGGGGAAATAAAAGTAAAGAATTAAGAACCGATACTGGTATTAAATTACTACAGAAATAATGTCACTCAAAACTTACCTGGAGGTTATCCTGAAAAACAAATGCCTAAAGAAGTTGGATGTGTTGACCGAAAGAAACAAATGTCGCTGCTGTGATGTAAAGAGGCACAGTGCAATTAGGTTCTCAAGATAAAAGGTGAAGAGAAACAAGACAAACTACTGCAGAAATACTAAATCTTATGGCTCAGTTATATAAAAAGGTTAACATGAGAAACGGCACAATTCAGATGTGTTGAAATATTACAAAAATAAGCTAAAAGATTAGAAGAGGTAATTCTGTGTCAAGAAAATAAGTGAAAATCAAAATCTTCTGAAAACATGTTGACACTCTGTGGTTGCAATTTTTTTTTTTAAATCAGTGCAGTACTTTGTAATCTTTTTTTTTTTTTTCGGAGGTTTTCAGCTTGTGCTTCCATGCTAGCCATGGGTCAAAGGTGACACCTAGATAAGTGGGTCCATTGTCTTGTTGCAGGAAGTGGTGAAAACATTAGTGGCTGCAGTAAAGTTAATTCAAAGAAATTAATCCCATGACGTGGGGCTTAAAAGCGTAACGAAGGGAAAACGGGAATGTTTTTAGTCTCACAGTTCATTGGAATAATTTCTTGTTGCAGGGTATGGCTTCCTATTTTCAGTTGCAAGGAGTGCTGCCTAATGGATAAGATAAATACAGTTTACTATGTTTTTGGGAGGGTTAATTTTCATGGCCCATTTTGCAGACGATTGTTCCGGTCTGTCCAGGGTTGGCTAGTCTATGAAGATTCTAATATAATCTATTTATTTTGAGGCTATTTTATTCTTCTTCTTCTTCCTTCTCTTCTTCTTTTTTTTTCTTCGTCCTCTTCTTCTTTTTACTCTTCCTCCTCTTTTTTCTTCTTCTTTCTTCTGTTTGTAATGTATGCATGCATGTATGTGTGTGTAAGTGAGTGGGTGAGCGTGTGTATGTGGGTGTATGTATGCACGCGTGTATTTTTGCATGCACTTTACAACTCATGCTTTTGTGTTCTTTTATAATATTCATAATATGCATATCATCATATGATCGTAACATGCTTTATTAGTAAAATACAACTGCTGTGCGAAAGATGGTTGACTGGAAGGGCCGAATGTAAGACGGGCCTGCGTGTCCAATTTGTGACCCTTTGAAAATAAAGTTCATTCATTCGTTCGTTCCCCAGCTTTTTTTTTTCTTCATCCTCTTCTTTTTCTTATTCTTCTTCTTCTTCTTCCTCTGTGCTTGTCCTTACAGTTTACACATGTCATACACACACATGCACACAAATCAATTGATCATGCAAAACACAAATACTATACAGATAAAGTTGAGAAAGGTATTGAACTAAAACAGCATAGAATCCGACTGACTTACAGCTCTTGGGGCATGTGAATTCATTCTAGCAGGACACTACTTGACCCTGTGACCTGGCTGCCTGGTAACCACTGGGCCAGTGTGGAAAAATAGGAATTAGTGATGTCTATAAATAAATTAAGGCCGCCCCCCCCCCCCCCCCCAATACTGTTTTTAGTCAGTCTATTTATCCCCTGTCATGCTGAATATTTGAGCAGACAGACACAATGACCCCTGTTAGTGAGCCATCTCGTTAACATGTCTCTGTAGTGAGTCAGGAAAGCAACTTACATGAAATAGTACCGATTGGATGTGTCAGTTTTGTAGCTGATCAGCAAAAAAGTTAAGGGACTTTTTCTTTCCTTGAAATGGGCTCCAGAACCAGTACAGGGAGATGCTAGTTTTGTATAGTTTCTCTGTGGCATTCATTTGTTAGATAAGTATTTTGAATCTCAAACCCCAGGATTGGTGAGAACCTGCCTGTGGGAAAGAAGGGTCGCTATGGTGTAGTCCATGGCAGCATTGAGTCCAGGTTTTCCCCTTACCACCTGCTGGTTGAGGCAAGCACACCAGAGGATTTGGATCCAGAGAGGATTTTACACACTGTAAGTGAACTTGTAAAAGTATGTGACTGAAAATGGTTTTAGTTTATGTGTGAACATGTAAACTATGTGAGGGAACATTATTTTAGTATTTATATGAACATTTTATTTCTTCTGTTCTTTTGCACTTTTAATCTGCCAATAAAATATAGGCTATGAACTTGCTGATACCAAGTTTTTTTTGAAGACTTATTCATGATTGGTCAGAATTTGCAGCTAGAAGTTTCTACTGCATTGTTCTTTAACATTTGTTCACTTGTTAAGCTGGAAAATGGGAGAGATTCTTTGTAGACTGGCTGGCAGCAAAAGAATATTCATAGCTGACCTGAGTTGATTTAAGAGCCGACATCACAGCATTTGGGTCATTCCCGTAAGCGCTCCGACCCTATCTTCAGCAACCAGCATAGAGTTCCAATATCAGTTGTTCCAGTAGCAGTCTGATTATATGTCCGTCTTGCCTCTCCTCTGAGTGTCCAGTATCAGCAAGATCTCCTAGTCACTCCTCACTCTCACCAGGCTGATGATTCATCTTCTCCTACAAATTGTACACATGCTCCCAGATGACCTTAACCACCTCTGCCTTATGTTGCATCAGTATTCTAGTCTTGTGCAGAGCCAGCCAATCTGTCCGCCTGTCATTTGCCAACACACTTGCATAACCTGGAGAAAACAGCCATACAATGATCTTCACCTCTGACCTTCAAAACAAAGCATGTATATACAAAAACATGTAGATAGCATTTTATTTATTAAATCCAATGGTTTATTCCCCCCCCCCCCCCCCCCCCCCCCCAAATAGACTGAAGCAGTGTTTTTGAGAGCTGCTACATAATTTAGCGGACATTTTTTATGGATTGCTAGTACACTGGCACCAGTCGACACACCATGGTTTAATAAAGAAGATGGCTACACAGGATGAGGTGGCCAGTGGCATACCAACCCTCGTTTATCTTCTTCTTCTCTTGTCTTGTTGTGCCTTTCAGCATTCAGTTTCAAAGAGGCATAGGGTGCAAGCCTTGGTATATGCTACGTAGATGCTGGTTTTTATGGCCTCTGATTGTCCATCTTTTTTTAAAAATGAATTTACTTATTTTCAGTTCTAATGTTATTTTCGTTTTAACACACGCCATTGAAAGTTGGAGACCCACTAGAGACATGGAATGAATGTTAAATGCATTTGAAAACAAATGCCTGAGAAAAAAGCTGAACACAAAACAGGATGAGTTCAGGCAGGAGTGAAGAAATAAGAAAAACCACTAAGCAACCACTGATATCAAATAAGACAGAGCTGGTGCTATATTGAACATGTCATGATAAGAAACGAGCAGAGAATCACAGAAACAGGCACTAAAATGGGACAGAGAGGAAAGAAATAAAGAAGCAAATACACCCTAAAGTTAGTGTTGATGAGAAAAGTTAAAGTTGCTGGACTAGAGTCCATCTATGAAATTATAGTGTTTGCACAGGACAGAACGGATTGGAGTAATAGACTGCAATCCCTATGTGACGTATAATGGAACAACTGGATAAAGATGATGTAATCCTTATATCTATCACTTGTTTGCTCGACCTCTGGCTCTGCTTCCTTGATGTCTGAGTGATGGCTCTCTGTGGGGCACGATCTGGTGGTAGTGTTCACCTTTATTATTCACCTTTAACAATCTGCATGGTAAGTTATTGTAGAACAGTCCCTTTCTGTCCTTGTGGACCCCAATAACACATGGGCACTGTCTTTATTTCAGCTGATGGAAACTGCGGGAACCAAATCCAAGGTCGTTGACCTAGACCAGATGCCCCAGCGACAGATGAGAGGCTTCACCCAGACCCAGTTGCCACAGAGGGATAAAAAGGCCAGCTTTGGGGTCACAAACATGTCAGCCAAGGGTGCAGAGGTGGATATCTTGTCTGATGTCTATGAAGCTGTGGCTAGGGTACGATCGGATGCTGATCCTTTGAGGTGGATGGTTGCTGGATATGTGGATGCTAATCCAAAAGGTTTGTGGTTATTCTTCTGAGTTCATCCTTAAAAGGGCAGGTTGTTTTGTGGCTAACAGTTTAGGTGTGATATTTGCACTTCTTGGGCCAACACATAACATTTCAGCAAACTAATAAGTCACCTCTCTCAGTCCCCCTCTGTGTTCCTCTTTGTATAATTAAAGGAAAAAAAGTAGTGTGAATGTTGTTTGGAACAAAGCATTCTGTAGAAGCTGTCATATCGAAAGAGCCCTACTGTGTCTTTCTGTCCAAGCTTCCCTCCTAGACCAGCTGCCATCCAAGGCTAAGGGTGTCTGCTTTGCCATAACATTACATTTTCAGTTATATTGTTTCATCTTAGGATAAGGCTAGGATCTTCCCAAATGTACTGTTCAACATGAAACCATTGGCGCAATGGGGGGAGGGGGGGGGGGGGGGGTGTCAGTTTTTTTAAATGCTCCCCGACATTTGCTGTTAACAAAGTTTAACTGTTTGCAGGTCCTCTTCAGTGTATGGGCAGTGGAGACGGCGGACTGGATGAACTGAAAAGTTGCTTGCAGGATACATTGCCAATGTATGGTCTGTATCGTGTCACCCACAAAGATGCTGACGACATCACCACTGTCAAATTTGTTTATATTGCCTGGTAGGTGTTGTTTGTTTCTCTTCCAACCCAATCCTCCTCTGTGATTGCATACTAAAAACTGGTAACTGTTACTGACTCACAGAGCATGTTGAGAAGGGTGGAGACAGGCATGCCATGGGCAGAGTGGCAAGCATCGCATCAGAGGTCCCAGGTAATTAGATTCGCTTGCTGCTGAAAATGGGGATTAAGCACTTATGGGAGTGTCCCAAGTGCTGTGATGTCGATTCTTAATTCAACATTCAACTGAAAAATTAACACCCAGTTACTCAAGGAGTAACTATCCTGTCTCCAACAAAATAAGACCAGGTCTTATATTAATTTTTGCCTAACAAAATGAACTGGAGCTTATTTTTGGGAGGATGTCTTCTTTTTTTTTTTTTTTTACCGGATTTAAAAAAATGTAGATTTATTAATGTACAAAATTCTACATTTAATCTTATACATTGTTTTCCTCTTCTTTTGGAACATTGTCATAATCTCCAAATCCTGAATTTCTTGTGAATTATGAACCACATTCATTTATTATCAAGTCTGCACCAGTGGCGTCTCTACTTTGACTGGCCATTCAGCAACAAGTATCTCATTCTAGCTGACGATCTTTACTGGATCTTATTTTTGGGGTAGGGCTTATATTGAATGCATCCTGAAAATCGAACAAGGTTTTTTTTTGGGGTAGGGTTTATATTAAATGCATCCTGAAAATCATGCAAGGGCTTATTTTTTATGGTAGGGCTTATATTAAATGCATCCTGAAAATTGTGCAAGGGCTTATTTTTGGGATGGGCCCTTTTTTCAGTGAAAAACAGTATTAGGAAAGAGAATTCCTTCTCTACTTTTAGTCGCTCCTGTTCTACCTTGGGGTATAGAGGTTTGCCAGAGAGATCTCCAGACGTCTCTATCAGCAGTTTTCTTTCTGGCTTTGTTCCGTTCCAGTCCTCTGTCAGTCAGGAACTGTCAGATGTTGTCTTCCCAGCGGACCTTCGGTCACCCTGGAGGTCTGGTTGCTTAGCTCTTAGCCTCCCATGGTGGACAGTTTTCTCTCATTCTGCATACATGTCCAAACTATCATAACTGTGACTGATCCACTCGAGTTTGTAAGGCCTGGGATCAAGATCTTGAGGTATTGTGACTGATGTGAGTTGAATACAGGTTTACACTCATTTAAGAGATTCTTCCTCTTCATCTTCTGTTAACCCTTTTAACTCTTTGAGTCCCAGGTGGTTTAGCATCACAGGCCCAAGGGGTAGTCAAGAGAGACGTAAAATCGGCGCATCATGCATTCATTGGGCCTCTAGGTAGGAATCTATGAACGTATGATGCGTTCCTTGGGACTCAAAGAGTTAAAGGAGTCGTTTGAACATTGTATTGTGGTTTACAGCTTGACTGCGATATCTGCTCCTTTTTGGTCCAGTGCATCTCATTTGAACAGACCTTAATTAGTCACCTTTTGGGACATCCTTATTGGAGGCAGAGGATTTTGTTTCCTGGAACCAAGATGAGTTCGGTCAGTGAGCAAGAAAAGACTCTGAAAGTTAGATTAGAAGAGAATGATCAAGCCTGTTTGGTAGCTCCACTTCCATAGAATAAGAGGAAATACCGAGATGGACTGGGTCCAAAGATAGTGGTTGGAGTCTCTGAAGCCGTATGGGCTGACAAATATTAGTTTCACATTTGTGCCAGGGCACGCAGACGTACCATAGACCAGGCCGCTATTCTGAATGCTCTACAAGAAGAAAGATATTTGCAAGAACCAAGTAATGACTTTGAATATACACAAGGACCAGACTGCAAGAACAACATGTTGGAAGGGTTGAGGCAAAACAATAGAACTATGCAGGAAGCCAATAAAGAATAAACACAGAACAGGTGTTTTCTGCCGCTATATGCTGCAGGATTTACTGAGGATGGGATCCGGGCACTTATGGTTTGAATAGTTCAATGTGCAGTGAAGATAATTTGTCGACTAACTAACCAAGCATGGCACGTGATGATGGTTATGATGGTTCTTCTATAACAGGGTCGGCACAAAGGTCAAGCCAGTAACAAAAGCCAAAATCTCCACTCACAAAGGGACAGCAGAGGAGATCTTCTGTCCAGCGCACGTCACCGTGTATGCCTCGGAGATCTCCGACATTGTGGAGAGGGACATTATGGAAAAGGTAGATTTGTTTTCCTGGTGTCTTTTTTCATTGCCCCAGTGTGATTTTGTGAACATGTCTGATAATCATGTGTTTATCTGCCAGTCAGTTATCAGCTCCACACAAAAATAGATTTTCTAGTTGCTTGTTCATTGTCCTGGTTTCAGCACCATACAGTAGGGCTGAGTATACATCAGGGCTATTCAGCTGGCGGCCCACGGGTCATATGTGGCCCGCTGAGGCCTAGCAAGTTGCTTGCAGAAAATGACCAGTAAGTCAAAAAGTAAACAGTAAAGATCCCTTTTCACACCTTTAGGCGTATCGGGCATATGGGAAGAGCGCCTATATATTTACAGACCATCAGCACTCGGTGGGTAATGAAGTCAGCATTATGCCGGAAATCACCAGTAATATTGTATTAATGAACTTTCTATACCCTCTCTGAATCTTAGGTTCAAGACTCAGGTCCCTTACAATCTCCATTTTCAAAACTGTGGCTCCTGAGTAAACTTAGTTGAATAACTCTGGTATAAATAATATTGACAATTCTTGTTCGTGTTATTGTTGGCACCTTTCTGTCTCTCCAGATGATAGTATTGTAATGTGCTGTAGGGAAGCAAGGGAGTCGCATCCTGTAGCTCCCCGTGTGGTTTCCAGGGCTCCATTTTGGGGAAATTAAGACTAGACCCACTGCCTCCCCAACAAGCTTGTTGTAGGAGTCGACTAATTTGGGAATCAGCAGTCTACATACAAATAAGTCAGATCTGTAAAACGGATGTGTACACAACACTCATGTTCTGGAACAAGTCTAAAGTCTAGAGGTAATGAACAACCAGAACTTTTCGCTGGAGTTTACGGCTGGTGAACGTGAAGAAAACATCCTATAGTTTTGGTGAGTGTGACAAGCAAGATCCACTCGCATTAACAAGTCTTCAACATTTCAAGCATGGGATTTTAGGACCGTCATTTGCTTTGCGCATGTACTTCTTCTACTTTCTCTCACTTTCATATGATGTTCACTTTTGGCTGCTCCATTCCATTGTTAATTATGACTTTATTTTTTTTTTTACTGTAAAGAAAAGTTGTATCAATGTTTACTCGTATATTCTGTGATCCTGATCCCCCTCCATGCACTGTCTCAGTCGATCCAGCATTTTCTCCAGTATGTCTCTCACTTTTCTTCTTCTTCTTCAGCCTACTGAAATCTTGGGGTTCATAGCTGCAGATGTCACCCACCTCCATTCTTGTTAAGCTTAAAAAGCAAAACAACATGACTAAAATTATCAAAGACAATGAGAAAGAATGGACTCAAGAACTTAGTGACAACTCGCAAGATTGATGCAAAGAGAGCAAGAGGAAAGCATGGAGATAAATACCTTGATGGCTTGGCCATATGGATGACAGCTTATGCTGATCAACACAGCACACAATGATGATGATCAACACAGCACACAATGGTGATGATCAACACAGCACACAGTGGTGATGATCAACACAGCACACAATGTTGATGATTAACACAGTACACAATGGTGATGATCAACACAGCACACAATGATGATGATCAACACAGCACATGTAATTTAGAAAATTACAATAGGAATTTGATAAATAGCTGTGAAGAAATAGGTGACAGATGGACATAATATTTTATTGAATTCTGCGATTGCAAAACTCCAGTAAAAAGTTTGGGACAACACATCAACAAATCACTAATTAGTCGTCTTTTAGGACATATTTGTTGGGTGCAGCGGGTCTACCCCCCCCCCCCACCCCACCCCACCCCACCCCCACTACAATAGGGCCCCGGAACCCACATTAGCATCTGATGTCAGTAAAACAATGACATTTATGTTGTCTTGATGTAAGTAAGCACATTATTCATTTTTGCTGTCCAGCTCTCTAGCGTAGTTGGCTAAACCGGATTGCGCGGTGACCGGGTGACGAACTCCTTGTGGTCTGGGTTCACACCCGGGGGTAGGCAGAAAAGCCACATTTCTCCCAGATTTACGGTATTTACAATGGAATCAAGGCCGAAATGTTGCGATATCCATAATACCGAGCCTAAGGGTTAGCAACTCATGGCTTCTGGATACTAAAACAAACAAACAAACAAAACAAATTCCTTTTTGAATTAGCTTCTGGCAGCACTTTACTTTATATTGACTTGTTTAAATCAGTGAATTTTGATGTTTTGCTACCCACAGATCAAAAGTCAAGCGGCCCGCTAGTCCAGAAGCAAATGATATTGTCCTGTCGTTAACCCTGGTGCATTATAAATGAACAGCAGAGAAGATGTAACTATCACAGCTTGGACATCAGAGAGCTGCTCATTTCATTGACAACATCCATATAGATATCTGAGGATATAGACAGAACAACAGTCTGTGCCTATCACTATTTTACTCCGAGGAATCTGAGTCTTACCTGCTGGCGTAGAGCATGATGGTGATGTCATGTGACATGAAGAAGTTGTAGATAAAAGGATAGTTATAACTTGAAGTATCATAGGTGCAGTGAAGTGATGTGCAAGGCTGGTTTAGTGATGTGCAAGGCTGGTTTAGTGATGTGCAAGACTGGTTTAGTGATGTGCAAGGCTGGTTTAGTGATGTGCAAGACTAGTTTAGTGATGTGCAAGACTAGTTTAGTGATGTGCAAGACTAGTTTAGTGATGTGCAAGGCTGGTTTAGTGATGTGCAAGACTAGTTTAGTGATGTGCAAGACTGGTTTAGTGATGTGCAAGACTAGTTTAGTGATGTGCAAGACTAGTTTAGTGGTGTACAAGACTAGTTTAGTGACGTGCAAGACTAGTTTAGTGATATGCAAGACTAGTTTAGTGATGTGCAAGACTAGTTTAGTGATGTGCAAGGCTGGTTTAGTGATGTGCAAGACTAGTTTAGTGATGTGCAAGACTGGTTTAGTGATGTGCAAGACTAGTTTAGTGGTGTACAAGACTAGTTTAGTGATGTGCAAGACTAGTTTAGTGATGTGCAAGACTAGTTTAGTGATGTGCAAGACTAGTTTAGTGATGTGCAAGACTAGTTTAGTGATGTGCAAGACTAGTTTAGTGATGTGCAAGACTAGTTTAGTGATGTGCAAGACTAGTTTAGTGGTGTGCAAGACTAGTTTAGTGGTGTACAAGACTAGTTTAGTGATGTGCAAGACTAGTTTAGTGATGTGCAAGACTAGTTTAGTGATGTGCAAGGCTGGTTTAGTGGTGTGCAAGGCTAGTTTAGTGATGTGCAAGACTAGTTTAGTGATGTGCAAGACTAGTTTAGTGATGTGCAAGACTAGTTTAGTGATGTGCAAGACTGGTTTAGTGATGTGCAAGACTAGTTTAGTGATGTGCAAGACTAGTTTAGTGATGTGCAAGACTGGTTTAGTGATGTGCAAGGCTGGTTTAGTGATGTGCAAGACTAGTTTAGTGATGTGCAAGGCTGGTTTAGTGATGTGCAAGACTGGTTTAGTGATGTGCAAGACTGGTTTAGTGATGTGCAAGACTGGTTTAGTGATGTGCAAGAGTGGTTTAGTGATGTGCAAGACTGGTTTAGTGATGTGCAAGAGTGGTTTAGTGATGTGCAAGACTAGTTTAGTGGTGTGCAAGACTAGTTTAGTGGTGTACAAGACAGTTTAGTGATGTGCAAGACTAGTTTAGTGATGTGCAAGACTAGTTTAGTGATGTGCAAGACTAGTTTAGTGATGTGCAAGACTAGTTTAGTGATGTGCAAGACTAGTTTAGTGGTGTGCAAGACTGGTTTAGTGGTGTGCAAGACTAGTTTAGTGATGTGCAAGACTGGTTTAGTGGTGTGCAAGACTGGTTTAGTGGTGTGCAAGACTAGTTTAGTGATGTGCAAGACTGGTTTAGTGATGTGCAAGACTGGTTTAGTGATGTGCAAGACTGGTTTAGTGGTGTGCAAGACTGGTTTAGTGGTGTGCAAGACTGGTTTAGTGATGTGCAAGACTGGTTTAGTGATGTGCAAGACTGGTTTAGTGATGTGCAAGACTGGTTTAGTGATGTGCAAGAGTGGTTTAGTGATGTGCAAGACTAGTTTAGTGATGTGCAAGACTAGTTTAGTGATGTGCAAGAGTGGTTTAGTGATGTGCAAGAGTGGTTTAGTGATGTGCAAGAGTGGTTTAGTGATGTGCAAGACTGGTTTAGTGATGTGCAAGACTGGTTTAGTGATGTGCAAGACTGGTTTAGTGATGTGCAAGACTAGTTTAGTGGTGTGCAAGACTAGTTTAGTGATGTGCAAGAGTGGTTTAGTGATGTGCAAGACTAGTTTAGTGATGTGCAAGACTAGTTTAGTGATGTGCAAGACTGGTTTAGTGATGTGCAAGACTAGTTTAGTGGTGTGCAAGACTAGTTTAGTGATGTGCAAGACTGGTTTAGTGATGTGCAAGACTAGTTTAGTGGTGTGCAAGACTAGTTTAGTGATGTGCAAGACTAGTTTAGTGGTGTACAAGGCTAGTTTAGTGATGTGCAAGGCTGGTTTAGTGGTGTGCAAGACTAGTTTAGTGATGTGCAAGACTGGTTTAGTGGTGTGCAAGACTGGTTTAGTGATGTGCAAGAGTGGTTTAGTGATGTGCAAGACTAGTTTAGTGATGTGCAAGACTAGTTTAGTGGTGTGCAAGACTGGTTTAGTGATGTGCAAGACTGGTTTAGTGATGTGCAAGACTAGTTTAGTGATGTGCAAGACTAGTTTAGTGATGTGCAAGACTAGTTTAGTGGTGTGCAAGACTGGTTTATTAATGTGCAAGGCTGGTTTATTGATGAGAACAGCTGATTTAGTGATGTTTTTTTTTTTTTGTTTAAATACCGAAACACTGTTTCAGTTGACAGTTTTAATGTTATTGTATGAACGGTGTTTGAAGATCTTTTGATTATGTAGACTATGCATGAAAAAGAAACATTTCTAGCTTCATTCAAGAAACTATGCAGGGCATGAGGTTATCTAGGAATGTTCTGTTAGTGTCTTTATATAGAGTGCATCGGGAACGTTCTTCTTAATTCCTTGTTTACCTTGTTCAAGACTGAGATTAGCATACCCTCTTTGATCTGCCAATCTCTTTGTGCTTTCAGCTTCACTGGTGGTGTTGTCAGAACATGTAAAATCGTACACATATCATATACATATTAACAAGTGGAGTAACAGATTGTGAATGAGTGGGCAATCTGGCCAGATTTTAGCCTCAAGAGAGGTATAAGTTTCTGGCTCTTGCTCATCTGGAGCATCAGGTTACAGTTGTGAGATTCTAATCACTGTGTAGTATATGATATGTTCAATGTCTGGAATATTTGAAGTCATTCTCTAATACGGGGCTATTCAGCTAGATTAACTCATGAGCAAGAATATTAAAAATGGGAATCGTCAAGGGCCAGAGGTTCAATCCCAAGCATAAAAAGATCATTAATACAATACAGTTGGCAGTGATCCGTGGGCCATAATGTGGGCCCCCATAGGCCAGATCTGTCCCGAGGACCACCATGTGGGCCCCCATAGGCCAGATCTGTCCCGAGGACCACTATGTGCGCCCCCATAGGCCAGATCTGTCCCGAGGACCACCATGTGGGCCCCCATGAACCAGATCTGTCCCCGGGGCCACCAGTTAAATAGCCCTCCCATAGTGTGGATAAGACAACTTATCACAAACTTCAGAAAGAGACAGTCATCTTTTTTTTTTGGTTTGGTCATGTTTTGAGAAGAGGAATAATGGAACATGTTGTGACCACTGATAAGATCTGTGGAATGAGAGACAGAGGAAGATAGTGTGAGGTGATTCTTGACAGTCTTTTCTAATGGCTTGGAATTGTGGCAGACACTAATAGACGCAGATTGTGGAGAGGTGTGATCGCCCACACAAGTCGGCAAGGCACTTGATGGTGATGATGATAGTATATGATAAATTCCAGTTTATAATAGAGTGCACCAAGAAAGTCAGATTTTATCGTAAAGGTTACATAGGTAGAATTGAAAACTATGTAGCTTGGTTTTTAAATTAAAACTATATAATTCAGAGTTCCATATTTTGTTTAGGCCTTTAAAACATTGCACTGTAGCGGGATTATAAGGGTTTTCATAATTTATCACATGTAACGAAACAGCACTTTGTAAATTAAACACTTGTTTTATTATACGGTTAATTTTATTATATTGGCTGAAACTTTACTAATATATAACAAGAGAGGCAGTGGGTTTCTTTCACGTTAAACCATGAACGGTGGTACCTGTAATCCACAGGCTTTTGTTTTTATTGCATTTTATAATGAATATTCTAATTATATTTAATGTTTTATATGTGAAGAAGACATTTAGATGTAATTTATTTTTGTAATGTAGTACAGTAAAACCTTGTCCAAAAGACCAATATGTCAAGTTCATGTTTAAAATATTCGTGCTAGAAGGGGACTGGCAAAAATACATTCCTGCTGTGATAAAAAAAATGTTTCATGTTATCCAGTGTTCTTCTCAAGCAAGTACATGTTAACTAGATTTTACTGTAGCAATGAAATTATATTTTTATTATGCTGAGTCTGAATTGAGGTGCCTTTTTTTATCAATAGAGCATGGGCATTCATCTCATACAAGTTATGTGACATAATATGATTTTAGAAACCAGATTTTAAAATGTTATTGAGTTGTACATTTTTTTCTGTTTATATTATAACTTGCTTTGCCCGGGATCATGAAAGATAGTTTTATTCTCCTGTCCTTTGCCTCATCTTAGTCTTCATTGTTGCCTTATTTATGATAGAAACTTCACGCAGAAGCGAGCACAATACGAGCCTTCCATCTTTCATTTTCTCTCGGATGTCCTCCTTTCCTCAACCTGTCAGTGTCCCGTTTCAATGCAAGTTTGGTGATTCTCGCTGTTCGTTTCTTCTCAGAATCTCCTGTAGCAAATATATCTTTTTGTTTTTAAACAAGGTTGGGGGCTGGCCCTGAGGTGGAGTGGTAGGAGGAGCCTCTTAGACCAGGTCTTCCCACTGATAGTGCTGCCGTCAACTTAGGGCAGTGACTCAGGCCTTGACTTTCAGTTACAATTTGACATGTTGGCAGTCTCCGAAATGTGAGCAACACAGCAGCTACCTCCTCTAACACCAGTATATTACAATCTGAGTTTCAAGCGAGATAATAGCAAAATGTAAATTTAAAAGAAGAAAATTTATGTGAGGGATGTTATAGGGAAAAAATATTTAAAAAGAAGTAACTCCAGTGAATGTTTACTTTTA